ATAGCTCACAAGTATTTTAGATGGTGCCCCTCAAACATGTGACCTAAAGTGTTAACACATGGGGTCTTGCTTTTTTCACCATTGTTGCTGATCTGTCCAGATGTATGTCTGCAGCCCTGTGTTTGAAGCAGGCCCTTCCACACTGAATACAGCCTAACATTATCCTCAAGTGGGCAAAGCCTTCCTCATTATAAATACATTGTCTGCCTATCCCCAGGTTGCCATGAGATCATCAACAACAAAGATATTGCTCTGCAAGCATACAACTGAACTCCACACAACACACATCTTTTGCCTCATTTTAAAACCTTTATTAAAAAAATCTGCTCTTTATGAGAAGGTTTCTAAAATACAACATAGGAATTTCCCGCGGGACAACAACTTACAATATGTGCTTAGTAAGTTCACTCAACTCCGCTGTGTTGCATGTTGGTTTCCGTGAATCTTCTGCTCTATTTACGCTGGAAATAACTCACAACCTTATCCTGGATGTTACTTCTTAGAGGTTTTTTCAGGAGGCATAGACTCTTGCTCTTTGTGCTCTTGAAGACACTGGGCTTGTATTGTAGTTCTGCTATAAACCACCCTTTGTGGTATTCATGTGTCTTCACAAACAGAGAGCGGGAGAGAGGGCAGGAAGGGAGGGAGAGAGAGGCAGAGAGAGGAAACAGATTCTCAAGACCTGGACGAGCCGTGGGAAAAGAGGGGTCTTGCAGAGGAAAAGCAAGACATGTCTCAGGACATTCCTTTGTGATTACACAGCACAGACAAATCCAGACATTATTGTTGTTATTCTGTGTCTTAAGGCCCGAGTTAAAGTCAATTTCATGAGAGTGTAATGATGAACTTCTCCATGCCCTTATTGTTGTTGTGAGACGCTGACACGCTGTTTGCTTTGGAAAAAGGGGTCCAAACTTGTAAGAAAAGTCACTACCAATTTGTAATGATTATGCTTCATTCATAGTTCTGTGCATCATTCAAATGTGATTTTACTCCGTCCTGTACAGCTGCAATAAACCGCTCAAAGGGGCAGGTAGATAGACATGTCATATCCACACCACATAAACAAGAGGATTCAAGTAAGAGGAGGGCATTGTCTGCAAATCTCAGGTTACAAGCCCATGATCTTAGCTGCAAGAGTTAGCTGCCCCCAATGGAAAAAAGCATGTTCCTCCCTTGACACAGCTAGCATGAATGAGAAACGGCTCTGAGGAATGCTCCATTATCATCCTATCAGCAGCACTGGGGGAGGAGAGCTTGTAGTTGCTCTTCAACAAAATCATGTGTCTAAAGAAAGAAAGGGGGGGCAGCGGCATTGGCCTAGAGACCCGCAATTGGTTTGAGCATCCTCCTCCCCAACTCACCAGACCTTGCACTTCCTCATTTGTCTAGGTCGTGCGTCCTTTTTGTCAGTAATTAATCTGCAGCACCGCCCTCCTATATTTATCCTTTTCACTCTCAGTTTCTCCTTCACCTCTTGTTCTGTTAGCCTTGGCTAGATTTACACTTGGTTTGATCACTGTTCACTGTTGTATACATGTGACTAATAATGGATCGCTAGGCATTTTAAGTGCAACGCTTTAGCAGGCAGGATGAGTGTCTTGTTGACCTTCACAGTGTTATGCATCTGCTGTGGAACAATGCTCCGTCTTCGCTCCAAACTGACCTTTCTGAGCCCTTACACACGTAACATGACTTCATTGGTTACAGTTTTAGATGGGAAATAAATGTTACTCACAAACACACCTACAATATCTGCAACATGAAATCAAAATGTCAAAAAAGTATATGTGAGGGATTATCTTTGATCACTGCTGTCCAATGTCTACAAAAGTAGATGGGAGTTAAAGTATGCAAATCAAATGAAAGCTGCTAATCCAGGATTTACTGTGAAGGCCTTTCAAAACAATTATTCAAATCAATCTAATTAAACCTGTTGAAATTGGCTTTAATTGCCTCCCTGACTAAACAAACATCAAGTTCTGGCAAGCAAATAATAATGCAGCTCAATTGCCTCTTCCAGGGATGTGGAGGTGGAAAGTGTGAGCTACAGCTCCCCTTAGTGGCTATAAGATCTCTCTAGCTTTCATAATGACGTCAGTGTCTGTATGTCACTATATGCATTTGTAACAAATGGACATTTGTGGCAACATAAACAAATACCACTAATAACATTTCAGAGCTGTTTGTTCTTGTATGTTTTTCTTATTCAATCTGAACCTGCTTAAACTGAAATTATGTCAACCAACTTCTTTGTCTAACCACAAGATAACCAGTAGAACTAAGCAATCAATTGGTACCAAACCTATAATTTAACCATGTCATGTTAGCTTGTTGTGAAGAATGCTAAATAGTGATCCGTAGTCTGCCTAATTTCTGGGGAGTGAAAACCTGGTACTGCCACTCTCACCATTGAGCTCTCGTCTCAAGATATCTCAATAATAATGAGTTGGATGGATACCCACAAGCGTCGTCTAAACAAACAAGCCCATATAATGCTAATCAAAAGCAGTCAGGAGCAAAAACATGCAGTTTTTTGCATGCAGCATAAATGTGTTATTTTTCCCTATTCTAAGACGTATATTTCAATATCCTGCATGCACCAAATATGCTAAATTGCTGCAACAACTTATGAGACATAATTAAGCATGGGGATGATCATATACGTCAATCATAATGTTCTAAGCCCTTATTAACTCAACTTTGAATATGCACCTAACCAGAATACAATTACAGATATATGACCTGAAAATGTCACATACAGCATCTCAGACGAATCTTCAGGTTCCAAGCTTTAAAATAATGTACCACCCTTCTTTTATCCCTAAACATCCACTATCCCCCACCGTCACCCCTTAAAAAAAACAATTGTATAGCAACAAGTACTGGTGATGTGCAGGTTACAAAGATAAATATTAAGTTTTAGTAAATAAACACTGGGCAATTTCAAAAACAAACAAATCATATGATCTCTAATGTTGTTAATTGGTTTGCATATCAGATATATCACTTGGTGGTTAACACCATACAGAAGTTGTTATTGGAAGATTGGCCAATGCACTTAGAGATCCTATTTACAATAACCATTACTGTTCAAATATGTCAGATTATGGATTTGCTGATCTCTCTGCCTTAACTATGACAGGAAGCTTTCCCCCATGGTACAACATGAGAATGAAGACAATTCTGGTTTTACTGAGTGTTTTTCTTACCCAGGATTCAAGTTATCTAACTCTGATATATCTGCTTCTACCCAAAAATGTAATGACATGTAGTTAGTGCTGCCCAAAGCTTTGAAAAACCACAAGTATCTATCCAGACACAAAGTAACCCTGGAAAAATGTACGGACTTTATTGTTCATAAAAATATACTTAATATTTAGCATGTACTTTCTATGGTGATGTGTTTGCTGTATGGTTCCTGGAACTTTTGTCTTCTGAAGGAAATGTTCAATTATTAAATGCGTTTTCTGTGTTAAAAAACCTCTTGTTTTGTATTTGGCATTTATTCAGCAGTGCTGGACAGCATGGACATATCTGTTAGCAAAGTGTCAGTTATTTATTTTGACTTGTATTCACAGTGTCTCCCTTAGGGCAGCAATTTTGAAAATGTCAGTATGCCATGGTGTGTGTATGATGCATCACATGCCCCAGTTTAGTCCAAATCCGAAGAGTGGTTTGTTTGTCTGAGATATTTTATGAAGAACACAGACACTTTAACTTTAAAGCCAATACATTCCATTTGAAATTGCTACAATGAACATGTTTTAACTGATTAATTCATTGTAATGTCCATGTGAACAGGTATAAGCAATTCAAACGTCTTCTTGCTGTCTTTCTTATAATTTCACAAAGGCCAATGTATTCATTCATAACATTAATTGTAAAATGTGCTACATTTCCTTGATTCAAATTATACTAAATTAAGGTTCATTTTCCAAATCCATGTCTCTGTTGCTCATCACATTAGAGAGTTGACAAGTGTGAGGTTTATCAAGCTGCTACGCTATAATCATGGTAATCAGATGTCAAACAATGAAGAAAATATCCTATGAATATACCACACAGTAAAAACATTTTATTACAAATAAATCATTAATATTTGTTAACTTTGAAGTATTATCTGCAGAGTGACTTTAAGAATGTTATAATTATATTATAGCCTATACTACGTTTGTGGTTTATTACTGCTGCAGATACTTAAACAGCATTTCAATGTTGTTGATTTTTTAAATAATTGAGACACTGTTGGGTAGGGTTTTTATGTGTCCAACGTTTTATTTTCCTGGTTACAATAAAATACAGGTAGATGGAAGTGTATAACAGCAGATGTTCCGGTTATTATAGGCAGTTTAGTTGATGGGTTATTAATGTAAGTGTACATAGATTTGAACATACCGGGTTTTGCAAATTCTGCAAGCTGTGGGGTGCGTGTTGTTCTGTCTGTGTGCTTTACCTGTGCTCTCACCTCCCTGTCACCTTTGGCCCCACGTATAAGTGTCCAAAATAATACTGCACGATATGTCAAAACGAAATAATATGATTTGCCAACATACATGAATAGTAGGCTAATTCAATCTGTAAACTTCATAATTCATAAAAGTAGTGGAGTAAAAAGTGCAACATTTCCCTTTGAAATGTAGCCAATTAAATAAATAAAATAAAATAAAATATTCATACAATAAATATAAATTAAAAAAATGTTAACAAAACGTGTGTTATAACATTTGAGTTGTCGGTAAAATAAATCACTAAACATAATATGACTTGCTGATCTAAACCATATGGGGGCACTGTTTGGCTTGGCTTGGGGATTTTTAAGGGCGTTCAACTCGGTGTAATTTTGGTTTTCATCATTTAAATGTTAATATTGTTACTGGGTTGCATGTATGTAATGACTCAAAATGTGTTTTAAAAATGGTTGTGTTGTTAATTTTAACTTTGTGCATGGGTGTATCGAATCACCTGGGAGCTGTTGTCTAATATGAACCCCACCCTCCCCGGGTCACTGTCAATCACCTGACCGTCTGTGTCAACAGCAGTCAACACAGCCGCCATCGCTCCTGTTAAGCAAGGAAGATTGAAACCAAAGGTAAGGATGTTTATAGTGACAGTGCACTGTGTTACGAATATAGTTAATTTAAAATGTCACTTGTTACTGTAACCGGTTGCTTTAAACAATCATCAGTTTCATTTAGCGCCACCTATTAGCATGTAAAATGTCCTGACCAGTGTGCAGATGACGAGCTAAGCAGCTTGTTAGCTTACAGCTAAACTGCCAGCCTCTGTAGCAAGCAGCGAAAAACAACAGCTGAACCACCTTGCTGCTAGCACGCCTGAACGGTGAGTGGGGAGCTAACGTAGTTTAACGACAACTATCTTGCAAGTGTAACACACTAAACGTCGTGTTATTCTGTATTTGGTCACGTTAGCTAGTAGTTATGTTGTAGCTTAACGTTGGGTGCATAACGTGCAAAACAACAGTGATGTTAACGTTCCGAGCATTGCCAGCTATGTGTATAATGCTAGGTTCAAGATTCAAGGCTTTATTGTCATGTGCACATTAGCTACAGTGTAGATATGGCAATAAAAAACGTAAGTCACAGGTTGATCTACTACCATAATTTAAACGTTTTTCAAATGTCGATGTTTGAAAATCACAGTGGTGGATTGTAACAAAGTACATTTACCCAAGTACGGTACTCAAGTACGCTACAATGTTGAGGCACTTTACCCGAGTATTCGAAGTGTGTGCTACTTTATACTTCTACTCCACTACATTTATTTAACAGCTGTTGGTTAGTATATACTTTTACGTTTTTAGAATAAGCTAATACACAATATTAATCAATGATTGATTAATTGATGATCCTGAAATTATGCAGTACTTTTACTTTTGGTGCTTTAAGTACATTTGCTAATATTTTTGTACGTTTTACTTGTAACAGTATTTTTAAAGTGTAGTATTGCTACTTTTACTTAAGTAAACAATCTGAATACTTCTTCCACCTCTGGTTAATTATCACTCAGCCAAAATCTTACAAGCTAAAGGTATAGATAGAAGCGGGCTAGCCTTTCTCGTTTCCAAAAAATTCAAGACGTTAACACTTTTATTTCATGTTGTCACTGACCAAACTGTCTTTTTATTTAATTAGATAATGATGTATCACAAAGTGCATGGTCATGTGCTCAGGTTAGTTACAGGTCTAGTGGTCTAGTGTTTTGTTACATTCACACTAAGCTTAAACTATTGCGCTCTTAACAATCACACAGCCTTGCATTCTTTGATTAATGTTAAAATGAGGTGAATTTTAATTGGACTCTACCTCAGAGAGGTGATTATTCAAGAGTGGTCAATATGATTAAGTCTGTGGTTCATGGTCTGGTGGTTGGTTGACCTTGTTGACCTAAATGTAATGGACAAAATAATTAGAAACACCATTCTGAAAGAGGCACCACAAACCACAGCCTCACACCACAACAACCCAGCTAGTTGAACCTAACATTATGAGCTTTGTAAAGGTGGGATTCTTGCAGGGTATTTGGTTCCCAAGAGAAATGACATCTGCAGCTAGTTGCATAGAAATGATAAGCAGCAAATGGGGACTCCTCTAAACTAGTAGTTAACCACACCACCACACATTTAATATATATTTGGGTATTTCTCGCATTTTCTTTGTACTTTTTACAGACTAATTCCAATTTTAATGTTACAGTTATGTTTCCTTCAACGTCTCCTATTCTGTTTTTCCAAAGTAAAAAGTTTAAGTGCTTGTTGTGGTTTAAAATGTTTGTCACATGGCCTTCTTTACTGCTGGTCCTTTCAGTTTGACAGACTGCTGGCTTGCTGAGCTATCTTTGACCACAGGTGCTTACCTAATGTCCATGGACCCATATCATTACCAGGGAGTAACTCATACTGTACCGCTTTATGTGAGAAACTCTCAGCTCTCCCTCTTAGTTCCACTGGTATCTTTTTGCCTATATCTAATATACCATCGGCCCTTAAGGTAACTTAATTAAAACTATTAGAATACAAGTATGTGTTGAGAATATTAATGTGTATTGGAGTTTACAGCTTAATAATAAATGATCTCAGTGTCTCATAGCTGTTATAGCGCACCTTGCTTGCTGAGAGTCAGAGCTCAGAGTGCTACTGCTTGCTCATGAAAGTGTCATGTTCATGTGACAGAGTTCATAGCCCCAAAGATAGGCACTGTGGCTTTGATGCCAAGTCCAGGAAGCAGCATGATGGCAACTTTACTGTTTACAGACACACTGGGGCCGTTTCTCAATCTCGAGGATACTGGCTTCCAAGCCAATATTTCAAGGATGCTACGTCATCAAGTGGCGCAGCAGGACCGTTCCAATGTCCAGCATACTTGGAATTCCACCGAGGCCGCGTCCTTGGTTTGGGGGAAATTTCTAGGCTGCACATGGGTAGACTTCGCGTCCTTAAAATCCCCACAATGCTTTGCGCACGGACCAATTTCCCCAAATCTGTGGCGGAAAATGTAAGGCGGGGCCTCTCATATGACGCACACTTGCTAGCCTGTTCCACTCTTCGTTTTCCGAATGCCAGGAAGGATTCTTGCCTAGCTTCTGAAGGAAGTGACTCGGAAGACATGTGCTACCAAGCAAGCGTACTCGCGATTGAGAAACACCCTGGGTGTTTCTCAATGTCGAGGAAGGCTGCTCCAGAGCCACTATTTCAAGCATACTACGTCATCGAGTGCCGCCGAAGGACTGTTCCAATGTCCAGCATACTTGGAATTCTACCGAGGCCGGCGTACTTCGTAGCGGGAATTTTCGAGGCTGCACATGTGTAGACTCCGCGGTCTTAAAATCCCCACAATGCTTTGCGCACGGACCAATTTTCAAATCTTTGGCGGAAATCGCGTTCCATTTAAGGCGGGGCCTCGCATATGACGCACACCTGCACACCTGTTAGACTGTTCCACAATTCTTAGTTTTTCAAGGCTAGGAAGGATTCTTGCCTCGCTTCTGAAGCAAGTGACTCGGAAGACATGTGCTACCAAGCAAGCGTCCTCGACATTGAGAAACACCCACTGTCATGTGCGCTCCATCAACAAACATGCTCATACACTGCCCCTTCACCCTTTTTTTACTAGCCATTTCAAGAGGTTGCAGCAGGCCATTTAAAAAAAGCAATGCTGCAAAGTGTTAACTTCATTGCCCTGTCTCGTGATTGGGTGTGGAGTAAAAGATTCATTTATGAATAGGTTTCTGCTTCCTTCCAGCTCACCTCAACTAACCGTGTGATATAACCTGTGGGTTTCTCATGTTTATATCACTACAGGCAATCAGTGATGGACTCCAGGTCTCGCAGACTTCCTTTCTGTCTGCCCAGCTCAAGGTCGTCCTACACATCGAGTCCAACTGTCTCCTCATCACTGTCCTCCAGCAGGTTGTACAGTAGGGACTCTGCGCTCAATAATGACCGCCTTCCAAGAGCCTCATCATCTTACAAGACAGACCTTGACCACCAGGTAGGCTGACTGCACATTATTATTATTATTATTATTATTATTATTATTATTATTATTATTATTATTATTATTATAATGGAACCATGCATTGTAGTTTCATACACAATGCACACCCACCTCATAACATTTACATACAGAATATATAATTGAATATGGACTACTACACAACCTCATTTGTTGTAGTGCAATAGTCCTGGTGTCCTGTAAATGTGGCTTCTAGTTTCTTATCATATTCACAGTATGCTTATTAAGAGTTGGCCTTTCAGCTATCATTGTAGACAACAGCTTTATTCAATTTGACCTGGTGTAAACAATAGTTTAATAATATAAATAGTCTTGTTCTAGGTTTGATAAAGCAGTGTCAAGAGCAATAGTAACAATAATTGTAGTACTGGGCATGGGTCTGTGACATCCCGCTGTATCTGTGTTTTGATTATGCTTAGGGTTTGAGTCTACCTTTCAGGTGTATTCCAGAGAGAGAGGGTGTAAGAGTAAGCTCTTTTCTCACAGGTTCCCTTGGGAACATGTTACAGCAGCTATACAGCATCTCAGAGGTGTAACAGCAGACCCTTTGGAGGTCTATTTATAGGGCACCCTAGATTCCTTGGCACACGTTGTGAGTATTTTAGTCCTGCTGCTCGTCAAGGCCCATCTCAAAAGAGAGTGTTACTGTTGGCCTGGGCCCGGTCTAGTTCCTGCTCTTTCTAGAATATTCTAAGCTAGTTGCTAAGACCCAGCCAACCGCTCACTGTCCGATCAGCATGTCACCCCCTCTCGTTTCCTTTTTGTCTCAGGCTGTACTATATGACTAATTGAAAAAGCCAGAATAATAATAAAATAATCCTTGCTCTTTGATGTTCTGCAGTTGCAGGATTATGAAGTAATCCTTCAGGGCTTTTCCTGGAAACAAGCGGTCATTTTTACATTCAGTGTTTCTTGCCAGCACACCAAACTGTGGAATACATATCCTTCCTCATTGAACATTTCAAAAGCCAATCTTCTGAATGATTAAAAACCTAATTCCTGCGTCCAGGTTAGCATCAGCTTGCAGTAGTCTTCTTTCTCAACCTTTGCTGTGAAACGTTTACAAGATGGGAAACAATTTTGCAAGTTAACAATCAGAATGTTGTTCCATAGTGACTACTAAAGTACAAGAGAAGTTAACCCTTTTTTGTATTACATATGTGCCCATGCGTGAGTACCTACTAATGCTACATGTTTTACTTTCTCTCCTTTAAAGAATTCTCGCCTCCTGAGCTCCTCCAGAGACTACAGCAGCTCTGACAGTCGCTCCAGCAGCTGGAAGTTACCCTCCGCTCTGAGGTCCTCCAGCAGATGTTATGAGCGCCCCTGGGCTGAATCCTCTCTCAGCAGCAGGAGCAAACTGGTACTGAAGCTGTGGCAAAATACAGTCTGGGTTACATGTTTTCGAAAACATTTGAGTTTATAGGAATATTGTTGAATCAAACACATTTGAAATGTCTGCCTGCTTTTCCTCAGACTGATCCTGAGCCCAGGTTGGGGATGCGCTCCAGTCTGTTGAACGTCACTGATGATGGCGATTCTAAAAGGGCAAAACTGTCGTACAGCAACAGAGACCTGTACACGAGAACTCCCAGCACCTCTGTTACAGGATCCACTTATTCCAGCACTGGGCTCAGCAGTGGCAGAGGTACATGACACTAGACTTGTGAAGGTCATGAGAAACGCTGTTACCATAATGTACCCTGAGTTGCTGTTACCTTATCCTTACACAGGTTATTAAGTGGGTTAAAACACATTTGGAAAACTATAATGTATCCTATTTGTTGGTTCTGAAATGATCTGGCTCTTAACTCAAGTGCTACTGGTGGCATTTGTTGTTAATTTGCTACAAAGCAGACACGGTACATTTTATATTGATATAATTAGTCGTTTATGAAACGGGGACACATCCTTTTTAATTACTTTATCTTTGGGACTAGATGCTGCTTGAGTTTGTTGTCATTTCAACTCTAGGATTAGGTTGTAGCAGCTATTTACAAACTCAATACCATTACAGTGAGACCTTAACGTTTCTGGATTAAAATATTATTATAATTCTTATTCTATAATATTATAACACCCAACAATATTGGAGTGATCTGAAAATGAACTCGGCAGACTTCTAAACAGCTTGTCTCTTCTTTTCCCGGCAGGTACATTAGAGAAGGACACTTATGATTCATCGTGGAGCTCGTGCCGTTTACTCTCACGGTCTTCCTCCTCCAATCCCCTGTCCAGGAGAGAGCTAGAGACCAAGAATGACCCCGTTCTCTCAAGTTTGGCGGAAAGAAGGAACAGGACCTCTGGATTGACTTCCTCATCGTGTAGGCACATGTTGTGATGTTCACAACCTCCAAATGTTTTGTGACATATACTCACACTTCTCTTCCCTCATTTCAGATCAAGCAGACAGGATGGCCTCCACATATGCGCAGGGAGCTCGGCCTAAAGAGTCTACCTACACCCCCTCCTTCTCTTCCTCCTCCTACTCCTCCTCAGCTAGAGAAAGCACCCTGAATAGCCACCTCTCAGCTTCCTCCCCCTACCGATCTTCCCCTCTGTTGCGCGAAAGCACCAGAACCCCTTCCCGCTTCTTAAGCAGCTCATCCACCCTCCGCTCATCTCAAGAACCAACGAGAAACCCTGTCCCCTCCTCGAACACCACCTCCACCTCCTCTTCCTCCTCCTACTCCTCACACACCTCCAGGTTCACGACCCACCTGCCCAGACCAGAGGCCCCGCTCCCTGCCAGGCCGGCCCCGCTCCCTGCCAGGCCGGCCCCGCTCCCTGCCAGGCCGGCCCCGCTCCCTGCCAGGCCGGCCCCTGAAGGTGTAGAGTCAGACAGCCGCAGCTCCACCCGACGCCTTCTGTCCCGCCTCTTTTCTCGCCGCTCCAGCCAGGACTCTTCCAGCGGTTCCTCCAGTGTCCGCTCACTCGACGATGACAGCCCGTCCACAGGTGGAGAGTCTGTGGACAGTGAGGAGGGGCCCAAGGTGTCCAGCGTGGAGCCTGCAGCTGGAGGCTCAGAGGGGGGCTTGGGGAGAAACCGCAGAGCAGACCTCTCCCCGATCCAGGAAAACAACGATCGCAGCGCACAGGCTCCGTCCAGAACGACGCAGTGGAGAGAGCCTGGTGTGGGCAGTAGTAACACCAGCAGCAGCGGCAGCGGGGGGGGAGGCAGCAGTTACTCCTGGCTCTCCTCCTCCCTCCGCGGCCGCTGCCCTCCCCTCATCTCCCGCCTTAGGAGACATACTCTGGGGCAAAATGCTCACTCTGCTGCTGGCTCGGAAGAAGGCTACAGCCGTCCGCAGCACCTACTGAGAAGGTGGGACAATCTTGAGCATAAAGTAACGCAGGATGATGATGATGATGAGGAGGAGGATGAAGATGACGATGACGAGGAGGAGGAGGAGGAGGAGGATGAAGGAGCAGCTGGTTTGGAGGCCTTTAATGCAGGTCGTCCCTGCAGACTCGAGGGTGAAACGTTACCTGAACTCGAGGACACAGCAGTCGATGTTCCGCTACACCGCAGAGCGTACGACAACATCTCGTCTCATATGGTAGCTCTGGGGGCTGAGAGCCAGAGGGAGAAACCCACCGCGGATCAGGAGAAGCTGCGAAAGATCAAGGAGAGGTAATGGAGTACCATCTAACTCGTACGCATTTCATCTTGTCCACTTAGAATAGGTATTTCAGTTGTATGTCACTGTGACTAACTGCTGTCTTACTAAGAGCTGGATGATATGAATATACGTTTGTTTTGTATTTTAGTTACAGTGATACTGCTTTATCAGGCCTTTTTTTCTTTTTCCAAATTTGCATCATTTGAGGAACAGTTAAGTCCATTTAGCAGACTCTGGGCTTTAAATCTCCTTAGTTTGTCGGATATTCAGTAGCTTCTCAAGCTAGGCAAAACACAGTCTTGGACCAATGATACATTAGTACTGTGTTTCCATCTCTAAGACAAGAGAAAACTATATTATCCCAAAAACCTCAAAATGTGTTTTTAAAAATGTACATATTCAGTAATTTAGCTACTGTACTTTTTGAAAGCAAACGTTTTTTATATAATAATAATAATAATAATAATAATAATAATAATAATACATGGGATTTTTATAGCGCTTTTCCTAATGCTCAAATACCCTTTACATCAAATCGGAACAGAAACAGTACAAAGAAAATGGATGTATGTAATAGTTACTGTATCATCAGAAGAACTAATCCCCCCTTCGTGCGACAGACTGCTGCTGGAGGAGTCTGACGATGAGGAAGGCGACCTGTGCCGAATCTGCCAGATGGGGGAGGAGGTGGCCACCAACCCCCTGATCCAGCCCTGCCGCTGCATCGGCAGTCTGCAGTTCGTCCATCAGGACTGCATCAAGAGGTGGCTCCGCTCCAAAATTGGCTCCGGTAAATACCAACCCCTCACTCCGCTGCAGCTTTAACTAAATCTGCGTCTTGTCAACAAAGCTGACATGTTTCTGTTTCTGTTAGGCACAAACCTTGAGGCCATTGCAACCTGTGAGCTCTGCAAGGAGAAGCTGCGTTTGAACATCGACAACTTCGACATTCAGGAGTTATACAGGACACATGTGCAGGTGAGTCACCGTTTTACTTCCTGTGGAGATTTGAATTTCACAATTGACCGCAATCAATACATTTCTATTGAAGTAAAACCCGCAAAATGAGAGTAAAACATAATAAATTGATGGTATATAAAACAACAGTTTACTGAAAGCTATTCTCCTTGCTTCACAGTCAGAATATGATGAGTTCATCAGCAGCGGCCTCTACCTGGTGGTGCTGCTGCATTTCTGTGAGCAGAGGTTCTCTGATGTGCTGGGAGCTGTCGATGCAGCTGGGGTGAGAACACACAAACACACAAACAAACAAACAAACAAACAAACAAACAAACAAACAAACAAACAAACACACACTTACTAGATCCTCCCATTGTTCACTAGCAAGTGCGTCACTACAGTTGATCATATCGTTGTCTGGAAGAACCTCTGCAGACTTCATCCCAGTGTACAGGGATTTCTTTACTCCGTCTAATCCAGGGTTGGGAATCCTTTCTGTTTTCATCTTGGAGGTTTTATTAATAATCTTGAGCTCAGTTTATCTTCAGACTGAGCTATGAAATAATCAAACCTCTAAACCTTTTTCAAGCAATATAGTTAAAGATACGCAATTTTAAAAGTGTGTGTGTGAACATTTTATTTACAAAAAAATTATTAAATAGCTACGTAGCGTCATGTTCAGTTAAAAGGTCATAATCTTTTCTTTAATATTACAATCCAAATCATGTCCATTACGATCAATACGCATAGAACAGCGTTATGGTAAAAGGGCATGTAGAGAAGTTAGATGCAGAGTGTAAAATCATGGAAAATGGTTTAATAAAGGATTAAAAAGTCGCTCGCGCTTATTGACTGCGCTCCAACAGACACATCTCTAAATCAACAGCCGGGCGCAGATTCTACAGAAAATGTTTACTACATTCAAGTGCTTATAGTAAATAAGTCAAAACTGCCTCAATATAAAATTAGGAAAAAAACAAGTGTTTAATTACGATCTGATTCCCAATCAGCTTAAGGCTAATGTATACTACATACTGTAGCTTCTTACACATTGAACACAGATGCTCAGGTCAATGGTTTTATACACAATTGGAAAATGTTTAAATAATGAATTGAAGTGGAATACAAATCTTGAAAATAGAAACTGCTTCCTTCTCTCACCCAGTTATTCAGCCTGGTGAGAATCCTTCATGAACACATGGACAATCTTGAAAGTATGTGGATCAATCATTTCTCTTCTATGCTTATTGTTTGTTGAAAAGTGAGATTCCATTTGTAATAGCCATCAAGGCTGTAGCATACTGTCAATGATTTACTTTTTGTATCCTTATTATTGTGTGACGACAGATTTTGACTTGATGTGTCTGAATTTCAGTTCCTGGGGAAAGTGACGAGGAGCTGCGAGACAACAGACCGTCTATTGAGTTTTCTGACCTGGACGACGATCTTGAAGAGTACTAATTATGTGAGTGGTGGATTGAGGGTAAAAAAAGAAGTGGGTCACTCTATGCCATATGGTAGTTCACCCAGTTTTCACACATGCTTTGAATTTGTTATGTTCATCTGAAATGCAACGGCAGCGAGGAAGGCCAAGTGCTCAGAAGATGTCTCGCCTTTGTTGCAGGTGGCTTTTGCAGATATGCAAACTTGATAAATATTTTGGTTGACACCACTGTATTTCTGTTTATATGAGTGCACTTTATTCAATTTTAATTAAATAAAATGCAATTTCTTTTCAACCCTTATGCCACAAGTGCTTTAATGTGTGAATGAAAAAGCACAGAGGGACAGCGGTGACACGTGTCGGGCTGATGTTGTGATGACAACTTTTGCAAGAAAATATAAAAAGTGGTGATTTTTCCTTTTATTGTCTGTTTTCCTCTGACTTTTTCCACTGAGAATATGGTTGAAGAAAAAGAAGAACTTAACCCCTTGAAAATAAATGTAATCATCGTTGTGTCAGTGTTTGAAATGCTTTATGTATGTACAAATCTAGTTCAATTTTGGAAATAAAGATTTAATGTAAACTGCCATTTGTTTAGTTTCTCTTTATTATCATAAATGTTGCTGGCACAAGATGGATATTGAGGTGCTTATTGTTAATAAATATCTGTATAGAGGCCTGAAAACTCCTTTTATACTTGTAGTTCAATGTTTTTGATATTAAGGTAGGGCAGGTAAGTTTGAGAAACCGGCTCGAGATCGCTAGAATTTGAAAATACACAACCGGAGAAAATCTGCCACTTCCTTATAGAGCCCCTCCTCCAACAGACACGAACGCGCACATGACCAATGAGGGCACGAGATAAGTTTGTGCACAGATGGAAGGCTGACAGGCAGGTAGGCCATCCAGTTATTTTAGCCGGGCCGGCTAAAATGATTGGTTGTACTTTTTACAGTACTACGGCTTCCACAGATGATATTTTTTTTTGTATGGATTTGTTGTCAAAGCACTTAAGATATTCATTGCTATCGGGATGTTAAGAGCATTCCATGGAATATAACAAAGTGTATCTCGAGCCGGTTTCTCAAACTTACCTACCCCACCTTTAATTGAAGCATCTCGTCTTTTTCAATAGCTTCTATGTCATGTGACTCCAATCACTTTTGTACATGTACAAAAGTGATGGTTGAATTTACCAAGGATAAATAGCAACCGTATAGTAAAATCTTTGCATACACTAATTATAATGAACGAAATAGAAACAAACAAGTATTTGGTGACAGGAAATTTTATTGGAAGGATAATGTACCTGATTGAGCTGATAGACCTGTTTAAGAGTGATAAGTAAAACAAAACAAAAAGAACAACCCACTTACATTTGGTTTACAACTTGATATGAAGGGTCTAACAAGCCGTATTGACGCAGTTCCACACAATAAAAAGAAAGATCAGGCTTCTGACATTCAAACAACTCAGAATCTTTGGTTCATTCTCAGTTATAAAACATATTTACAAAGCATTCACAGCCAACGCCAGTGCAATTTAAATGTCTCTAAAACCCTTAACCTCATTGTGCTTAAACATAGGAACATATTAAAGTGCGTTCTTGCTCAGTAGTAAGTGCATAGGGGAGTCAGATCTACATCAACGCAAACTTTATACAAACAGATGTCTGAGTCATTTTTAGGCAAGCCAGTGTCTACACTTACACAACTGATCAGCAGGACTACAACTTTCCCTTGAATCATTATGTATTGTCAACAAAAACACAATGTTAAGTATTAAGACAACTGAATCAGGTAATACACAGAGAATAACACTACCCAGTGGCTTAATACCTCCCATTTCTTCTGAATTATGATGTTAAAAAGGCACAGTGAGTGACATTTTCATCAATCATACATTTTCTTACTTATTTAAAAAGGCACAATCCAATAAAAAAACAAATATTTCTTGACCAGAGTGCAAGCTCTTAATCCAGATAGTTTTAACTTTATTTACTGAGGTTTGAAAAAGATAGATGTTGCTCAGGCCAATGAAGTGCAGCTTAGTAAACAACTTAAACAATATAGAGAACTCAAAAGCCAAGTTTCTTATCAAACATAATCACACATTTACATTTTAGTCTTTAGTTTCTTCCTTTTTGCTCATAGATCGGTATGGGGCATAACTTTGTAGAAAACCAGCTCTCAAACGATTCAGATCTGGGCTGTATTGTGAGTATTTCAACTAAAACTATCTCAGTATAAATACAACTCCAAGTGGAAGAAAAACAGGTCTAATATAATTGTAGGTGAATTGGCCTTTTAGTCTATTATTGTATTAATTAACTAAAGCCACATTGGAATAGATTGAGTAATGGTATATACAGTACAGTATGTTCTGTTACTGATAGCTTGGAGTCACTTATACATCAGTGCAATGTAACCCCTGTTATAGGGCCTGAATGGGAGTGTCTTTTCTGGTTGCATATTTTAACTCCTAATCTTTGTACAATTTAAAAACAAAAACATCGCACTAATGTCAATGATCAACATTTACCAGAGAACAACCCCAGTATGTTCATAACGCTTCACTCTTCATCAACACAATCTAGAGTATCCCAGAAAAGAGTTGAATTGGCAGATATTCACAATTCTCTATATATTTACAGTTTTAGACATCATTTGAGAAAGTTTGCAGGCTTGAACATGATAAATAAATAACTTAAAAAAGGGAAAAGCTGCATCTGCTTTTGCTGAATAGTACTAAAATGCACACAAGGCACATAAACACTCCCTGAGGCTGATACTTATTCAGCTTCTGTGATAATACTGGTGCTGTCTGATTCATCAAAGGTTCTCTTGTAGCGGACGGTGGAAGAGAAGTGGGATCTTTTCTTCTTGTAGAGGATGAAGCCGATGGCTAAAAGGAGAGCGATGACGACCACGATGAAGAGACCCAACGCCACAGGAGAGCCTCCGGACTCTGAGGACGCAAAAGTGAAGTTGATCCGTCATCAATCAGTTTTCAACAAGACGTTTTTGTGTTTCCACTGAACAAAATGCCGTCATGATTCAGGTCATGCAGCTTTTATTTGAGTTTAGACTCGCTGTGTGAGTGTAAGTAGTTTAAAGGCCCCCTATTATACTATTTTTCAACAATAAATTAAAGTTCTCAGTTATATACAAAACATGTCTCTGAAGTGTTTGGCTCGAAATACCGAACAGATCATGCATTGTAGCATGCCATAAACCCCTCTGTTTCAAAAGTGCTGATTCTGGATCCGTAGCTTTAAATGCTAATGAGCTGCTGCTGGCCACGCCCCTCTGTGAATAGTGCTAGGTGATAGGGCGGCCGGTTGTTACCTTGGTTGGTTATTGGCTAATGGTTTCACAACCCCAAACACAATCACAAAGTGGCCAAAATCTGATCAGCTCCTTTTCAGACATGTTTTTATATACAGTAGAGTAGATGGATCAGGACAAAAACTTTCCGAATTTAGGGGACAAATATTTATGTATAAAATACATGAAAAACAACGCCTGTTGTCAATTAACTTATGTAAAAAATATACTTGTTCGGCTTCATATTAAAGTAATTCTGAAGCTTCAGTGAACAGACAGGTTAGTTTAGCACAGAGACTGAAAAGAGTGGAAAACAGCTAGCCTGGTAAGGTAGCATTATCTGCCCACCACCACCTCTAAAGCTCAATAAAAAACATTTAATATATTGTAGTTTATTCTTTACTGAAGTGTAAAAATTAAAGTGTGCTATTTTTTGTGTGCTGATGTGCCACGCCTTTGCTTGGCCAGGATCAGCAACCTCCTGGCTAACTTTCCTCTTGTTTCTTTGTGCTAAGTTAAGCTAACGAGCTGCCGCCTCGGGATATATTTTCACACACATTTATAATACCACACACATATGAGAGTAGCATCTTTCTTTCTCTTAGCAAGAGAGAAAATAAGTGCATTTCCCAAAATCGCAATACCTACTTGTTTGAGTTTTGCAGACAACCCGACTGTAGCTCGTGTTGCAGCTGGCGCGAGTCCAATTTCCTTCATCTCCTGCCACCATGACGGCACAGTGGGGCTCCGACTTCTTCCCAGCAACCAAAGTCTCAGACTTCCAGTTGGAGTAATCCAGAGCTGAGCCGTCCTGCCAGGACAGAGGCTGACCTGAGAGGAAGAAGGGAGATGGTGGGACGTGAAGGGAGAAGGACTAGCACCGCAAATGTCCCAAATAATGTGTTTCTATGTGATGTTGAGGAGAAATATCTGACTAGACTCATCGGATATCACACGGATCAATTGAAACAACATCATTGATTTTCTTGCCACTTGGAGCAGCGTACTTTAAATTCTTTAAATCAAGACAACATTATAATTTGAAAGTGGATTGGAATCAGCTTTCACTCTCACATTAATTAACAGGTTTCTTAATACTCAGATTTGAGCACCCTAAACATTCAAAATCCAAGTAAGTAATGTTTTCAGTTGACCATTTTTTGTAAGCAATGCAAAAAAGCAAAAACACAACATGCTGATTTTCTATCTATAATGCCAGCTCGACCTAAATGATAGGCACATAACCAGAATTGAGATATGGTCCTGTAAATTGTATGTGATGTGTCACTGTCTTTATTCCATTTAAAGTGCTGGGGTGTACCTTGAGTATCGAGCTCCATGTCGAGCCACACTCGGCTGGTGATTAGGGGGTCATCGACCACGTGCTTCGACACAAAGTCCTTCTCCTCTTTGCTTTTGAGGGTCAGCAGTTGAGCATCTGTGAAAATAATTAAAATCAATAAGTGGACTACAGTTGATCAGATGTATACGGATTATGACCCTTCATACACAGAACAGCGTCTCACCCAGGCTCTGGCAGATGCTCCGGGCCTGCGGCATGCTGTAGACGCTGAAGTTGTAGAAGCTCATGTGGAAGGCGTAGCAGTGGTCCTGGTGCTGCACCCACATGGACATGCCGTTGCTCTGAGGGCAGTGATTGGCCACCGGGGAAAACAGCTGTCTGGCTCCTGATTCATAACACAGAAACAACAACGCTCAATGCCACTATAACACAAACAAGTAGATGTTTGAAGCCTTAATATATCATAATATTGTTTTTTCCTCTGATGGATTTCTGCAGACTAAACCATTCAACACAAATTCTGCATTCATGTAGTGTCAGAAAAAGAGTTTCAACTGGGAAAATTCATGTGAAAGTTCCTCTGAAAACGTAGTTGGAAGTTTGTTAACATTTTGATCATGACTATGCAAGGAAACCTTTATTAATTCACCTGCTGTATATCAATAATAGCAATAACCCTGATAACTAGTCAGGTATATTAATATTTCATTCGTTTTAGGGAGCAGCAACAAGTCGCGGACAAAATAACATAGATCTCTTTTCATTGCTCTTTGATGTCACGCTAATATTGTAAACAGATAACATGATGTTTAAACTTTGAGCAAAAAATTATTTGGAGAGTCCAACAAAAAAAACTTCTTTGGAGAGTCAAACAAAACAAACATTTCAAATAGTAAGAATGAGAATGACTTGCCGATTGGCCAAATAAGACCATCTCAGTCACTTCCCTTTTCCTACATA